CACCACAGAGCAACCATTTCCTTTTGTCGATCGATCGTTGGTCCGAGCCCGCCGCCTTGCCTGTCGGTGCAGACCACGTGGCTGGCCCCTAGAAAAACACTTCGCCCGCTGTAATGATACGGATGTGCCTAGCTAGCCTCACACAGACAGACAGCCAGGCAGCCAGAGGGAGCAGTACCACACCATCGATCCATCGATTGACAGCCAGGCAACGAGGGTCATCTATCTGGTGTAAGAAACTCACAGTACGGATCCACTGCATTCCATTCCATTGCACGACTCCCCTCCCAGCCCACACAAATCCCTCCCTCCCTCACCGACCCCAGCCAGCCCACTGCAGCTACCGAATACGGTTGTCATCACCCATCCCCTCCCTCCCCACGCAACGCAACCAACACCCGGCAAGCAGCCACAACACACACATAAACTCCCCTCCCTGGAAACAAACAAACACACACAGCGTCACGAGAGCAGGCACCGATGTGTGTACGGTGTGTGGCGGCAAGCTCACCGAAAAGTGTCATTGTCTCCCTTCCTCAGCTCTCTTCGGGCTTCGTGGGCGTCTTGGCTTCGGGTTGTTTGGGGAAATCGCCGGTTATCTCACGGTAGATGTTGCGCGGCCACGCCAGCACGTTGCCCCACGCGCACCACGACACCACCTGAGGGAACGACAAACAAACAACACACACAGTACAGTGAAGGGTTTCTTGCCGCCGTGTGCCTGTGGCAGACAGTGAGAGGTACCATGATGCCTCCAACGGAGGCGAGGAGTGTAGGGAGGTCGCGGACGAACATCTTGGACCAGTTGGCGGCAGAGGTGCCGAACAGAAACTGCGCCACGCGCCCACCTTTGGTGTTGTTTGACATGGTGACCGCTGGTCTGGTTGGAGGGAGCTTCAAGCAACGCCGAGGGAACACAAGAGAGATTGACGACGACGACCAAAGGGAGCAACGCTGGACTTCCTGAGAGCTTAGCTTCCCGGCAGCAGCGGTTTCAGGGAGTACCCTAGGCGGCCTACGCTTCAGCTTTTTTTGGGATTATTGGTTGCAGCGACGGGGCCATGATGCATCGCGCCAGCTTCCATACCGTCTGCACTGCACGAAATGCACTCCGTCAACCTTTCACTCACAAAAAGAGGCGACTTCAGAAACTTATTTCATGATGATCATGGCCTACAGACAGCGTCTGACTCCACAACGTCACATCGCCGCATCTACACCCAGGGCCCGCACACACGCATGCACGGTGCCGGACCGGGGCGGCTGAGGGCCTACAGGCTGAGGGCCTACAGGCGCCCTCACCACGACACCAAAAACTGCGCAGTGGCACGCACACAGGCAGAAAACCACACTTGGCACGGCGTAGTAGCCCTACGAAGCCAACATAACATCACAGACACGCTACGGAAACCGCTCTCGGCTGTGACTACTGAGACGAGAGAGCTGTCCTGTCCTCCCCTTCCCTCATTGTTTCATTGGTCCATTCCTTCATTTGGGGTCATAGACGAGCGGTGCATTCGGCCAGTCGGCGCCAAAGGCGAGACTCTGCAGAACCACACACACAGACACACAGACAGACAGACAGACAGACAGACAGACAGAGAAGGACAGTCACACCTTCCCCCTCAGATGCAGCAGTGCTGGTGCATCGGCTGCCCACCTGCATTCGGGTGACGTATTCCTTGAGGTTGGGGTATTCCTTGGTCATGAGTGTATGGAAGATGCTGTCCTCTCGGAACAGCATGCACTGCTGCAGCGCGGCGAACACGTGGGCGTCGACCGTCGTCACGCTGTCGCCCATCATGTACTTCTTCTTGCCTGACACACACAGCCATACACACACACACACACACACACACACAGACAGACACACCACCATCGGTTGCCGCGAACACCACCAAGTGTTGCGTCTGGTGTGTTTGGCTGACCGAGTATGTTAGCGAATGCCTTGAGGTCGTCCCGGATGATTTCTTCCTTCTCCTGCTTGTCGAACCGGCCGTAGCCCAGGCCGTAAAGTAGTTTCTTGACCCGGGGGAGGACGAACAGCAGGAAGGGCACCATCAGCAGCGCCTTCTTCCACCCAGTGATGCCGACCACCTCCGCGAACCGGTCCAGGTCCGAGAAAAAGCGATAGTCGACGATCGGCCTGCAGCGCAGATCAGTGGCACATACCACATACCACACCGCACAGGCACCTGTGCGTTCGTGTGTGTGTGTGTGGCGAGGGTGGTTTACCAGATGAAGTGTTCGTTGGTCATCCTCATGAGTGCGTGTGCGGTGGCGAGCTGCTCGGGAGTCAGCTTGTCGTCCAACTTGACGTTGAAGTCCTTCGTCAGGCGCTGGATGCAGAGCACTACAAAGGGGGCGACACACACGTGTCCCACTCAATGTCGCCACTGGCCTGTCTGTCTGTCTGTCTGTCTGGATGGATTGCATACCCGAGTCGGCCACTTCTTCGCCCTTCCACATCATCCAGGGCTTCTTGGCCTGGATACATGTGACAGGCGACCGACATCGACATTGACATCTGTGTCGGTATGTACCACCTCGCTCCCTCCTCTCCCTCCCATCCCTCTCGCGCTTACGTGCTTCTTGCTCATCGGGCCCTCCGTCTCGAGGCGATACGGGATCTGAGCCCCCCGGCCACGCCACACACGTCAAATCACACACCGTCCATCGGTGTTTTCTGTCTGCCTGCGTTCCTCTCTCCCCCGATCTCACTCACTTTGGCGAGTCGCATGAAGACCTCGAGGCGCAGGGCGGGAGGCGAGACGGAGGGCGTGATATCCTTGCAGCGCCAGAAGCCATGCAGCACCACTCGATCGGCTGATTCCTTCTTCTCCTTCTTCTCCCGCTGCTTGGCCTTGTACGCCTTGACCAACTTCACTGCACACACACACACCAGTGACACCACACCACAAGGCACATACAGGGCAGATGAACACAGAAATGGCATTCGATTCTCATCCCCTTCTGTCCGATGGTGAGGCGCTGACCTGCCAGGTGAAGAGAGGCAGCGGCGCCTACGAGGATGCCGGTCTTCTGGAGCAGGCTCCATTGCTGATCTGTCAGCTGGATACCCATCGTACCGTGGGCACCAATGGATGGATCCGGCGGGACGCCCTGATTCGCCGCAGTCGAATGCTGCAGACAGACAGACGAGAGGGAAAGGCGGTCTTACTGCATTGCTCTGGCTTACATGCTGAGAGAGTGCCGCTTCTTCTTCGACACAAATTTTCTCCGTGAAACGGATGCGTGTCATCGCGAGCTCGAGCTCGCAGAAACGCCGCTTCCTCATTCTTCGGCCAAATTCGGGGGTTTCTTCTGTTCCCTCATCGTTGGTGCGGCGATCTCTCTATAGGTCCAGGCGATCAGCTCGATTCCCTAGCGGTTTGGTCGAGGATTTTCATCGCGGGAGGTCGAGGACGTTACCGAGGCTATTGGCTGCACATTTGAGCGACGAGGGGCGTCAGTGGTGGCCAAAGGATCAATGACATGACGAGTGGCGAGGGTCAGGACGGCCAGTAGGTGCAGTGCATCGCGAGGAGAGCAGAATGTCTCGCCAGGGGTCCGTCCCGCCCGTGACGCGCCGCTCGGCAGCCGCTGCAAAGAGTGCTGAGGTACCTGAGGCAGCACAGACACAACTTTACGCGTCGCTCCGCAAACACACGGCGCTTGCTCTCTCTCTCCTGGCCTGCAGGCAGCTGGCGATGATCATTTTAAGGATGGGGAAGGTACGCAGTGCACTCTGACGCCATGCGCACCTGACATAATGTGTATGGGCCATGTGTGTGTTGCCTTCCTGTGTTGGTCAGGTTTGGCTCGGAAGCCCCGCCAGCTGAGGCAGCGTCGTGAGAGGCCATCCCGGCCCCCCTCGTCTGACGATGCCGTTGCAGCCGCCGACAGCTCCAATGCGCAGCACAGGAGTGATGGCGTCACGACCCGGTCACAGCGAGCGGCCGCCAGCAATCGGCAGGCAGACGGCGAGTCCGGGAGGCGGCGGAGCACCCGAGTTCGGCAGCGAGCGGCGGCAGCAGCCGATGGCGACATGCACGACGATAGCGAGGGCGGCCGCGACGAGTGCGCTGAGGAGATGGTGGTGGATGATGGGGAGAAGGAGGCTGGTGCCAGTGACAACCACACTGACAATCCCAAAGATGGCGACAGCAGTGAGATGGGTCGTGGCGTCAGCCACGTCGGCCAGCGCAAGCCATCCGGCGGCGATTCAACACCCTCGGCAAGGGACGACAAACAACACGCCAGCAGCAAGCGCAGACAGGAGGCCAAGGCCACATCGGCCATGTTGCCGCCGCAGGGCGAGCCTGCGGTGGCCAAGTCGAGCAGGATGCTGGAGGTGCACAAGGAGATCACCACCAGCATGCTGCGCGAGTCAATTCAAGAGCCGGGCGGCCAGGCCGCCGGGGCGTCGAGTGGTGCGGAGGCGAATTCGAAAAAGAGCGAAAGGGGCGGGGAGAGGGCCGCAGCTGCAGCTGCGGCGCAGAGTGGCGAGAAGGGGCAGCAGATGGGCCTGATGGTGAGCAAACAGCACAGGAAGCGTGTGGCAATCAATGCGCACAGCTCTTGAGTGAGATGTGTCTCGTGCCTTTTTGTGTGTGCATGCAGGAGAGGGCGGATTTAAGTCGGCAGCTGGTTGAGCTGCGCAACAGGTCGGCCACCATGCAGCACGAGACCGACTTCCTAATTCAGGTGCGCAGAAAGAAAGCCGAGCGACAGCAAAGGCGAAACGGTGTCAACCAGAGATCTGACTGACACTCATTGCGTGCATCCCGATCTTCTCTCGTCGCATGTTCAGAGCAAGGACCGAATGCGCAAACTGCTCGCGCAGGAGGAGGACATCGGTGCGCCTACACAACCTCGACACACACACACACACACACACACGTCTTACTGAAGGCACCCAATACCTTTCCGTGCCCTTGTATCTCTTGCCTCAAATCAGTTGCGGCGAGTCAGGGCTCCGATAAGGAGAGGGAGGGCGAGATGAAGACGCACCTCTCCCAGATGTATCGCGCCAGACCCCTCTACCACCCACCAGGCGCGCTAGCAGCAGCGGCAGCAGCATCAGCAGGAGGCAGGCACGACTCCCCCGTCGCCGCAGCAGCGCGCAAGAAGAAGCTCCCCTCTCCCGGCCCCTCTGACAGCGACATCCGCGCGCAGCAGCAGGCGGCCACGGCCAAGCGTCGGAAGCAGCAGCAGCAGGTGGCCCCCATGCCGCCCCTCCCCACCCTCCCCAACCGCTTCCTCTTCTCGCGGGACATCCGCATGCCGCAACACAACAGATCCGCAGAGGAGGACAAAAGCAGGGGCCCTGGCGGCAAGCGCGAGTCGGTCGCCAACATGATGGGCGGGATTCGCTTCATTGCCGGGGGCATGCCCATCGCACCACCCACAGCAGCCAGAGACCGTCATCCACTGCGGATCGTCCGGCCGCAGGGAGGCGTCAGACCGGGCCCCTTCGCCACAGCCACAGGCGCCTCTATCCGCTGCGTGCACATCGACCTCGAGAAGGACCAGGAGATGGAGATGGACGACGAAGACGACACCGAGTCTGTCGACCCTCCCCCCCTCGACAAGCGCCTCCCACTGTGGGATGAAGCCGAGATGCGGCAGCGCCGGGTGGCCATGTCGATGCTGGTGGGCGACTGGGCGTGCAGTCACCCGCCGCCCGGCAGGACCGAGTCAGACCCACAGTCGTCAGATGACGACAGCGAGGCGGATAGAGAGGCGGGGGGGCTGCCCGCCGGCTTCAAGCCACCGTTCCCTCTGCTCGATGGTTCTGTCGTGCGGGAGGGAGGGGGTCATGGCGATGAGAGGGAAGGGGAGAGAGAGAGGGAGGGGGAGGGAGGGGCAGATGAGGGCGCTGCTTCTGGTGGTGGTGGTGGGGATGCTGGTGGTGACGATAGCGAGATGCATCAGTGGCTGGAAGGAGGTGGGGCAGGCCGACACGACACTCACAGGCAGACAGGCAGATAGACAGAGATCGGTCCTCTTCCTGGCCGAACGAACCCCTGTTCGTCACACATTGTGTGTCTGGTGTGATTGGTTCAGTTGCGAAGCCGCTGGAGTACCCGCCAGCAGAGACCATTCGCACGCCAGCCAAGGTGAGGCCACCCTGTGCACAGGCCAAGTCCAACACACACTCACACACACTGCATTATGCCGGTTGTGCGCAGTTGGTTCCGTCTCTTCTCACCTGTTGGGACTGGTGCTGCACGGCAAGGTGGGCCACACGGCACCCGACACACGCGCAGACAGACACATAGAGGTGGCCAAAAGTGGAGGGAAGGCAGTCGGTAGCGAAAGGGTCAGTACATGAGTGGCCTCGACATGTGGCGCTTGGTGGTTTGCCCGAGAGGTTAAGGGGTTGGACTTGAAATCCAATGGGCCTCGCCCGCGCAGGTTCGAGCCCTGCAGCCGCCGCGTATGACTCTAGGGTTTCTGGGGTTACAGGGTTCCACCTGGCCTGGGGGGGCCGTTTTGTGACCTCCGTGTCCTTCATGCGATCGTGGATTGTTCTCATTTCTGTCTGTCTTTGTTCTCTGCTGTGTGTGTGTGTGTGTGTGTGTGTGTGTATTGCAGTGACTTGTTGGAGCTGCCTGTGTTGAGCCTTGAAGAGTTCGAGGCGGCCATCTTTGAGGAGGACTCGCCCTACGTGCACGCCCTCTCCATGCTCCTTCTCAGGATGATCGCTATCGACTGGTCGGCTCTCTCTCCCTCTCTCTCATTCACACAAGGAGGGAGAGACCTTCATGCCAGTCGTGTGTGTTGTGATTTGTTGCGTGCGCAGGACGGGAGAGGGCGCGAGTTACTTCAACGTGAAGCCCCTCAACTACCTCTGCTGGGTCTCACATGCGCGAGAGGTATGCAACCAAACACATACAGACACACACATACACACACATACACATAGCACATCTGCTGCTGTCTGTCTGGGTCAGCACGTGTCGGAGCACCTCAAGCACCGGCGGAACCTGCTCACAGAGGTAAGCGGCGCGACGCACACACACACGGCCACACAGACGTGTGTGTCTGTGTTTTGGTGCGCAGGACGAGCAGGGCGGGCTCCAACGGCTGGTTGATGAGCTCGCGTCGGGCGACTACACACAAATATCACCCGAAGGTATACACGCACACACAGGTGCGATAGAAGGCCACATATGTGTGTGTATGTGCCAGTGCGTATCGAGTTGCTGGCGCTGCTCGTCGACCATGCCACAGAGACGGCCGTCTTCAGGTACACACCATGGCTGACATACTGGTAGTGCTGGGTGTGGCTCACTCCACCACCCACCCTGTCACCCTGTGTGTGTGCAGGACATACACGGAGATGTGCCAGATTCGCCTCGACCATCTCAAAGCGGTAAGGCACACAAAACACCACCCCACCGCCAGCACAAGGTGAGTGCTCTGGCTGCGTGAGTGCAGGAGGCGGCCCGTCACCGTGATCGGCTCATCGCCAACCAGAAGGACATCAGACACATACGTGTACGCCTCCACACCTACACACTCACACACTCATACTCGCCTGCACAAGATAAGATGCACACCTCTACCACTCTTCCCATATGCAGGCCTTCATCCTTTGCCGTCTGCCCAAGGATCAGCACGAGAGGGTCCGGCAGCTCCACGCGGCAGCACAGGACAGATACAAAGCCGCACTCAAGGCCCACCGACGCCGCACTGACCCATTCACGCCGGCCAGCCCGACTGAGGGAGACACACGAGACCACAAGATGGCCGGCGGCGATGAGCATCCTCAGCAGATGATGAACGGGGCCTGCGGCGCTGAGGCAGATGCAGATGGGGAGGGGGACGGCATCATTGCAGAGGACGCCTGTGCGACGTCTGCGGCTACCCAGAACCACCACCACCACCACGAGCAGCAACATGACGGTCGGCAAAGCAAGAACGGCGCGCCGGTGGGGGCGGTCAAGGACGAGGCGAGAGGGGGTCCGGGAGGTGCCGGCGAGGCTGGCGCTGAGGTGGGTGGTGGGATGGCCTCGGATCAGCCGCCAAGGCCCGAGGACTTCGAGCCGACACTCGATGAGCTCGTGGGCGACATGCAGCTTGACCCACTGATGGGTGAGCACACAGACGGAAATATGTGTGTGTGGATGATGACGTTGTATCATGGTTGTTGGTTCTCCCTGTGTATGTGCGTGCGTGTGTGGCAGTGGACAAGAAGCGCGCCCACGAGAGGCTGCTGGAGGAGAGAAGCAAGCTCCTGACCATGCTCAAGACATGGGTACCCAAAGCACATTGCACTCACGAAGACGCAGAAGCATGATCATCATTCCCCTCTCTCTTGCCGTCTCTCTCGTGTGTGTGTATGTCTTCGTCACCTTTGCCTGCAGGACTCTCAGCTGCCCCGGCTGCATGGCTCCATGGGCCAGCGCACCGACCCTCTCGGCCGCGACCGCGACGGCAACATGTACTGGCACCTCAGGAGCGACTCCAACTGGCTCTTCGTCGAGCAGGCCACCGCCATCCCCACCACACACAAGAACACCCCCGCCATCTGCCACTCGGGATTCCCCCTCCCCGCCGGCCACGTGCTGCCTGCAAGGCTGCTGTGTCAGCGGTATCTCGCAGAGGCCGACAAGACACACACACAACAGGATGATGACCCACAGCCATCCTCACAGCAGCCTGAGCCCTCCCCACTGGAGCTCAATGGCGTCGAACCAGACGCACCTGTCCCCGCCCCCGCCTCACCTGCGCCACCAATCGAGCCATCCGCCGCTGCTGGCAGCCCCCCGTCGCCCGCACACCCCTCTGCCCATTCTGGCCGCCATGGCCGCAACCCGCGGTCGCACTCGCCCGGACTGAAGCGATCGGCAGGGTCGTCAAGGCGGCATCAGCACCACGCCAAGATCGAGAGAAAGAGAAGCCAGCAGTCGTTGGGCGGCCGGCCCGGCCACACTGCGGCGCCGCCCCGGAGCGATTCGGCCGCTTTGAGGGAGCGGACGACCAAGTGGCTGCTCTACAAGGACGGCAAGAGCATCGCGGGGGTCGTTGGGACGCTGTCTGACAGCATCCCTGAGGAGAGGCGGCTCAAGCGGCGCCTCCGTCGGGGCATGACACAGCCGTCCATCTGCCGGATGTCGCCACACAAGACGCCGGCGTGGTGTGTCCGCAACTTCCCTTCACGAGCCAGACAGGTCAGCCAGCCGGGTGACGCCACTGCCTCAACAGGGTGGTGCAATCAATGCTCACTCTCTCCTTGATCCCTTGTGTTGCCTTCTGCAGCAATATCTGCGGCTGAATCGTATCCTAACCAACGTGACGCCCACTTCCTCTCAGGCCGCAGGCAGCGGTGACGCCGAGGTGCTGGAGTGTCCTGTGTGTGGCGACATCTGGTTTTCGCACCAGTACCACTGCCCCCGGTCTCACGTGACGGTCGATCGAGAGGCGGCCGAGGCGCACGAGGCTGAGTGGGGGGCCAAGGGTGGCGGCGGTGGTGGTGTGCCTGAGGTCTCTCTGGTGTTATGGCGGCTCAAGCAGGAGCTGCTGCTCATCGAGAAGGTCGCCACCAAACACCCCATCAGAGGACCCTTGTGGCCAGAAATGAGAGACAGATGGTCAGTGGCAAGGAGACAGGCAGACAGGCAGACAGCATCCGATCAGCATCTCTCCATGCCTCATTCATTCAGGCTCAGGAAGGTCAAGCACGCCCAGTCGCTCCGCAACGTGACGGTGGCCGCAGCCGACGACGACGACACCATGGATGACGGCCAGGGACAGGCACACGGCGAGGCTGACGATCACGACCACAGCCATACCGTCGACCCCTCCCCAGTGCTGCAAGATGACAGCGACGCCAGAGACAAAGACAACATCGATGCAGAGGAGGACCACCACGGCAGCATGGACGTCGATGAGGTCCACGAGGACGACAAAGCCGACGAGGACGAGGCTGTGGTGGTCGACATCGTCAAGACCACCGAAGGCCGCAGCCGGCGCAGAGCAGCCCCGCCCCCCGGCGCCTTCAGGGAGATGAATGCCCCCTCGGCCGCATCGATGCTCGTGGTCAGTGGCAATTCAATGTCCACGCGACGGTCTCGCCACCAGGACCACAGCGCTGATGATGTGTGGGAGGACGCCGGGCCCCCCCTGGAGCTCAAGCCCACCACTAGCGGCAGCGGCAGCGGCAAGACGGCCAATCGGCCCCGTGGGCGGGCCAAGGGGACGTTCAGTCTCGACGTGGATGCCGGCGTGTCAGTTGGGCTGGTGGAGTGCGCGTGGGTGCTGATGCATCACCTGGACCTCACGCCGGCCAGTGTGGCTGCCTGGTACTCGAAGCCGACCTACTCTGAGTGGGCCTCCATCAAGACCACCGGCAAGTTTGCCTACCAGCTGTACGTCCTCGACCGCGCCCTGCTGTATGTGGGCGTTCCAGGCAAGCCGTCCATGCCGTCCTACGCGCCGGACAACAATTTCACGCCCTCATTCTTCGGCGAGTTCGAGCCCTCGACCATCCCACGATGGTGCACCGACGCCCGCAGTCTGTTGTCGTTGCTGCCGACGCTATCGAATCCCTGGATCGGCAGGGAGGGCTATGAGAAGCTGGGTGTGGGCAAGTCGGCCGGCAATGCGCTCAAGATATGGGGGACGGAGAGGGGTATTCGGGAGAGCGGCCTGGGGGATCGGACCAGCACCCCAGCACCGGCTAAACCGATACACAAGCGACCTCATGTGGTGCCCCCGATGCCGCTGATCAACCGGTCTACCTCCCAGCCGCTGATCAACCCGCTCCCGAGCCCGAGCCGCCCTGCTATTGACATCGGGATGCCCTTGTCTATGCGTGGGGCGCGCGGGCCCGCGCAACGGCGGAGAGAAGAGCCGTCAGCCTCGTCGGCATCTTCTGCGGCGAGGGCGAGGGAGAGAGGCGGTATCCACCGGCACCACAGCATGCCCCTGATGCCGCCCATGGTGCACCTGCCGCCCCCGCCCCACTGGCGGCCCCCTCCGGCACACTACCCCTACCACACACCACACCCCGGCACGGCCTTCTACCCACAGCCTTACAGGCTCACCTGACCTGACTTCTAATGGGTGTTGTTTGCTGCTGGTCGTCTGTCTGCTGCGAGTTGATTGAGATGTGGCCTTCGTATACGGGAAGAGTACATGGGCGGCATGGCTGGGTGGCTAGATGTGTCTCCACTGTCTGTGGAGTCCGAAAGAGACGATTTATGTGTGTGGCTGCATAGCGGGAGTAGTATAGCGTGCCGTGATTGGGCAACGGCTAAGCGAGGTTCTTTGTGGTCGGGTACGGGTACCTTATCTCTCTCGCTCTCCAGAGCTGCTATCGTAGGACGGACAAATAACAACTCACTGATCGATGTCATGCACACACCCATGGATGAATGGATGTCGTCGATGGAGTCACAGAGACATGATACACACACACACACACACACACGCTGCCGGCTCGCTGATGAATTCCAGTTCCATCACACCCAAGCAATCACTAGGGATCGAAAACACGCCAGCGGCCACTCGCCCGCATATGGCATTACCCTAGAAGAGCCAGCCTTGCAAAAGCGCTGTCTCCGGCCCAGACGCACACCCGCCTGCCTTTGCGCGTGGTGATAGAGCCGCACACCGACAGACAGACACAGACCGTTGGCTGCCTCGCCGCCCTCCATACCTCCCTCCGTCCCCGCCCCTCTCCGCCCACCAGTCATCGCTGTTCGGCGCCGGCCTGCTTGACCTGTTTCCTCCGCCGCTCGCGCATCTTCTGGCCGTCCCATTTGCCCTTCCTGATGTCCTTGATGGCACGGTGCATGTCTCTCTCCATGTCTGTGAGGACGGCCGCCCTTCTCGCGTCGTCGTGGCTGGACAGGTGTCGCAGGAACATGCCGTCCCACCCGTGGAAGGCGCTGTAGTGGACGACGCGGATGAAGGGTCGGTAGAGGGGCATGACGCACTGCCAGAGGACGTTCTGCGATGGGGGGTGCTGCCGCGCCATGTCCTTGCAGGTGCTGAGGGCGAACTTGAGCCACTTCTTGACGATCTCGCGGGTGGTGGCCGTGTTGCGCATGATCATCACCCCGGCGTTGGGCCGCTCGCGGCGCAGCATGCAGGACCATGAGTGCGGGCAGTCGTTGGGCATCATCAGCATGTACCTGGGCGGCTCGTTCTGGCCCTCTGCATCATCATCATGCGACAGGAAGGACAACATAGTGAATGAGACGTGGGTGGGTTGTGTCATTGTGTCATTGTGTCATTGTGTGTTGTTTGTTTCAGTCGCGTGCCTGCCGTGCCTGGTGCGGCGGGTTCTCCGTATTCGACTAGGTCTTCTATGCGTATGGAGGGGTCGAGGATGCCCGTGTCCGTATCCACATAGAAGAAAAACTCCACACCGGGATGGGTGCGCTGGAGCTCTGAGAACGATACATACACCAACATACATACACACAAACAAGACACACAATCCATTCTTCCCTCTGAGGCAGCCACCTTCGTCTTCGTACCTAGGAAGGCGAATAGCTTGGCGAAGTTGAGGTTCATGCCTCGTGTGGTGACCTGTTCGATGGGCTGGCTGTTCTGCGTGTCGGTGAAGAGCACATAGTCATAGCCATGGAGGGCCGCGTACTCCCGCCACATCTTCTCGGAGTGCGATGAATACTCAGCCGCCCCGTGCGTGTAGAACTGATAGATGAGCACGCGAGAGGCCGGCCGCAGCGACTTGGGCACCGTTATCGGCGCGTAGATCATCAGCGAATAGCCTATCATGCCTACGGGGACCGACAGAAAGGCCGCCAGCCGGATGAAGTTGAGCCTTCGCTTCCATGTCGACTGGCGGAGGATGACGACGAACCAGCAGACGGCCCATCCGAGCAGAATTACCTCAATCACCGCCCTGCAAAGGGAGAGAAGGGTCACAAGATGCCCAAGATGCCATCCCTGTGTGTGGGTGTGATGAATGCGTCGGCCCACCTGCTGGGAGATAGCTCGAAGAGTAGGGACGGCTCGCGGAACAGCAGCCGGAACAGAGAGGAAAATGCCATTCGCGGCGCCTCCTCATGGGCACGTCCATCCGATGAACACCTCACACACGCTCATTCCCGATGGAAACACGGACGCATTTGAGGCTTCCCGTCGACTTTCCGCTCTGCAGAATGCACCGCGACGGCAGAAATGTGCTAATCGCCTGCACTTGCAGCGAGCTCAGAGAGGTGTGAGACCTGTAAACGAACCCGCCGGCGATCGAAATCAATGATTTCGCCGCTTCTGCACTGCTTCTGCCTCTCCCCCGAGGCCCGAGACGTATTCGTATTGTCCTCCGATTGTCATTCGATTGTTTCTGAATGTTGCATGACTAAAAACCATCATTTGTCGGACCCGTCTTCTCTCGTCCACACAACAGTCGCTCAGTCACAAGTCAACCACATCTATCCCTCTGTATATCGATTCTGCTCGGTTGGTGCCCTCGCCTCCCTCCACGCATTCACAATACTGACAGCAGCCATGGCGGCCGTCTCCACCCTCAACACCAGCCGCCCCAGCGACACACACCGGACAGCCCAACCCCACTCGCTCAGCATCCTCACCTCCTCAGCAGCCCACCCTCCCACAGGACCTACCACCACAGCACAGCTACGCATGGCAGCCGCATCGCCCTCCAGCCCCTCGAGTGCATGTAGCAGCGGCACTGTCTTCTCGCCGTCGGCTTGCCTCTCGATGCAGGCAAAGATCGGGCCGGACGGGTGCATCTCAGTCCACTCTTTGAGCACCTCCTCTAACGAAGCGGGAGAATTGAGAAGAGGTCCATCGTCCAGCCGCTCGCATTGCTCTGCCGCTTCAACCATTGTCGCCTTCATGCCTTTGAGAGCATAGGCCGCTTCGTGCTCACCGTGCTGGGTCAAGATGGGGTGGAGATGCGTCACGCCGAGCTCTGTCGCCTTCTCCAGGAGAGTCTTCTGCCGGGCTTTGTTCCTGATGGGAGCAAACATAAGGCTGAGCACCGATTTATCCACAGCCGGTGACCGCAGCCGCCCCATAACAGTCAGACAGACCTCTCCACGACGCGGCCCTTCACTGACGCGGGAGAGGTACTCGCCGTCTTTGGCGTTGAATATCCTGACAGCATCGCCGCTCTTCCTGCGCAGGACGACCGTCACATAATGCCCATGCGCCCTGTCGAGAGCCACACTAGCACCTTCCATGAGCGGCTCGTCGTCGTGGTACAGACGCGGGGCCCTCCTCAGGACATTGTCGCTCTCGTAGCATCCGCATCCACCATCTTCGGCCGCATAGCACGCCGGTTGCCGGGCGCCTGTGCGTTGAAGAAGGTGAGCCCCACAGCGCCGCGTTCTGGTCCATGACGGCAAGGTGAATGCAGCGACGGTGTGGGTCGGCCGCAAGGTCGAGCAAGCCGATGGCGATGAGAGAACGAGGAAGAGAAGGCCAGGCCGCATCGCATCCTCCTCCGCCGTTGATCTCAGATCACGACCTGATGACAAACAAACCAGAGGAAGCTGATGAAAGAAAGCGAAATGTCACATCTGGCATTCATCCGATAACCATTCCTCACCAAGTTACGGCCACCCCATTCGCTTCTCTGATCGTTGAGCTCGCAAGCTGTAAGAATAGGGGGGAGAGAGTCGGGGAGAACGGTGAAGAGAGGATCTGCCGGGCGGTCAGTCCCGGATAAAGGATTAAGTCAATGCAACGTAAGGTCTGTGGATTTTGTGGAGAGTCCACGTAGGACATGTAGTATGCGTCAGTCCATCCTGTCTGACGTCCTGTCCGCCATGGCCTGTCTCATGGAACGGACAGACTCAACAGCCGTCCTGTCTCACAGATCAGTGGATCGTCGGTCCATGAACCCTAGACCCTAA